GACAGCAGCGTTGACAGCAGCGTTGACAGCAGCGTTGACAGCAGCGTTGACAGCAGCGTTGACAGCAGCGTTGACAGCAGCGTTGACAGCAGCGTTGACAGCAGCGTTGACAGCTGCGTTGACAGCAGCGTTGACAGCAGCGTTGACAGCAGCGTTGACAGCTGTCAAGCATCTCACAGCAAATCACCACCCAATCACCCCCTAATCACCCCCCAATCACCCCCCTAATCACCCCCAATCACCCACCTGTTTACACTCATTACTCACCGTGGTAAGTTTACTCATCGTTAGTTACCTGAATAACTCTCATTATTGTCCACATTACCATTCATTTATTCATTTCTAATTTGATTCATTCACTGTCAGTGAGAGAAGTTGATTTATTTGTATTTAGCAGTGTTTATTTATTCGTACAAACATTATATTTATTTGAGCCGATGCGTGAGTGTTTTATATTTTTATTTTTATATTAGAATTGCGAATGTTAATTTTTTTCGTTGAAAGCTGATTATTCATCAAATGTTAACTTTTATTAATGTGATATGTACAATAAATAATAGAATATATATATGAATATTATTGTAATATTGTGTTATTGTAATATGCTTTTATTGTAATAACACAATATATATATGAATAGTATTATAAAAATACGATCAATTAATTATTACTATTCTACCAATACCCTACCTAAAATATAATACTAAGCCAATTGCACGCACTGACTGCACGAATTTGTTGGTACACTCTGACAGTTCTAAGTTCATATAAATGTAAGTTCTATGTTGCTGTCATTTCACAGCTCTAAGCTGTAGTGTAGAGTTAAGTTCTAAGTTGTTATCATTGCACAGCTCTAAGCTGAGGTGCAGAGCTAAGTTCTAAGTTGTTATCATAGCACAGCTCTAAGCTGAGGTGCAGAGCTAAGTTCTAAGTTGTGTCGGTGATTCGAAGCGAGAAGAAATTTTGTCGTGTGGAGAAGTTGCAGCGCAGTTTTTTTTTCGCTGTCACTATTGTGACAATACGATTTCTATATGAATATTATTGTAATAATACAAATAAATATATGAATATTTTACAATAATACAATAAATATTTGACTAGTATTGTAAAATACAATAAAAACATTAATATTATTGTAACAATGCTATAAATATAATACTAGTCCGATTGCACGCACTGGCTGCACGAATTTGTTTGTACACACTGACAGTTCTAAGTTCTTACAAATCTAAGTTCTAAGTTGTTATCATTTCATAGCTCTAAGCTGAGCTTCAGAGCTAAGTTCTAAGTTGTTATCATTTCACAGCTCTAAGCTGCGCTGCAGAGCTAAGTTCTAAGTTCATTTCACAGCTCTAAGCTGTAGTGTAGAGCTAAGTTCTAAGTTGTTATCATTTCATAGCTCTAAGCTGAGCTTCAGAGCTAAGTTCTAAGTTGTTATCATTTCATAGCTCTAAGCTGCGCAGCAGAGCTAAGTTCTAAGTTCATTTCACAGCTCTAAGCTGTAGTGTAGAGCTAAGTTCTAAGTTGTTATCATTTCACAGCTCTAAGCTGTAGTGCAGATCTAAGTTCTAAGTTGTTATCATTTCACAGCTCTAAGCTGTGGTGCAGAGCTAAGTTCTAAGTTGTTATCATTTCACAGCTCTAAGCTGTGGTGCAGAGCTAAGTTCTAAGTTGTTATCATTTCACAGCTCTAAGCTGTAGTGCAGATCTAAGTTCTAAGTTGTTATCATTTCACAGCTCTAAGCTGTAGTGCAGATCTAAGGTCTAAGTTGTTATCATTTCACAGCTCTAAGCTGCGCTTCAGAACTAAGTTCTAAGTCGTTATCATTTCACAGCTCTAAGCTGTGCTTCAGATCTAAGTTCTAAGTTGTTATCATTTCACAGCTCTAAGCTGTGCTTCAGTTCTAAGTTCTAAGTTGTTATTATTAGTAAGTTGTAAGTTGTGCGGCAAAGCTAAGTTTTAAGTTGCAGAGCTAAGTTCTAAGTTGCAGAGCTAAGTTCTAAGTTGCAGAGTTAATTTCTAAGTTGTTATCACTTCACAGCTCTAAGCTGTAGTGCAGATCTAAGTTCTTCTCATTTCACAGCTCTAAGCTGTGCTTCATATCTAAGTTCTAAGTTGTTATTATTAGTAAGTTGTAAGTTGTGCGGCAAAGCTAAGTTCTAAGTTGCAGAGCTAAGTTCTAAGTTGTTATCATTTCACAGCTCTAAGCTGTGGTGCAGATCTAAGTTCTAAGTTGTTATTATTAGTAAGTTGTAAGTTGTGCAGCAAAGTTGGCGTCGTGTTTGGCTCGGCCTATTGCTTCACTTCTCTCACTCTGCAGGCCTAACTTATAATGTATGTGCAAACATTTGATCCGCGCATAATAGGCCTGAATTTATGCCACATCTTGCGGGATACGAATGCCGCTTTAATTATTTCTAATTGCTTCTAATTTGGAATTAATCTCTGAAGAATAAAATCATTAATCATAAAGGAAATTATAATTGTATGCTTCTAATTTACAATTAATTTCTGAAAAATAAAATTATTAATTAAGAAGGAAATTATAATTTTGTGCTTTTAATTTTTAATTAATTTTTGAAGAATAAAATCATTAATCAACGAGGAAATTATAATTTTATGCTTCTAATTTTCAATTAATTTCTGATGAATAACATTACTAATCATTAATTAAATTATAATTTTATCACAAATATTCTTCTTAAAGTTTTTGTATTTCCTTGTGTGTTTTATTCGTGTATGTGTTTATTTGTATACTATTTTGTGTGTACGCAAATTGGAACCTAATTTTTAAATCGGTATTAATGAATTTAGTTTAAATGATGCAGAATAGTTTTTTAAATAAAGTTAAATGGGCGTTCCATGCTGCGTGTGAACATAGATAAATTTTATTATTTGTTACGGGATTATAAAATTAAAACAGGATTAGAAAATTCAGAAAATTATCGATATACCTTATATTTATATGTTTTATAGTATATAAGGTATAATATCGAGTAATTAATCCATTGGTGGCCCAGTGGTTGCAGTTCATGGTACTAGGATTGGAGCAGTGAAGTGAGGGTTCGATCCCAGCTACCTGCGACAATTATGGTCACTATAGGCGCGGAGGCCGGGCGGTTAAGCGGTTAATTAAGCAAATATCATGTGAATGTAATTAATTTTAAATTGAAAATCGTTTGAGAATTTTATCACTGATATTATTATCGTTTTTGATAGGATTAATTGATGCTTTTAAATTGTACTATACATGAATTTAAATATGTTTTTGTTCACTTAAACGGCGTTTTTTTACATAATTTTAAACTATGAGTGGAAACACTTTGATACATCCTGGTATTTTATTATATTGAAATTCTCATTTAAACATAATGATTACTTTAGCTTCCAATAATAATCTATTTGACTCCTTTTTCATCAACCACCTCCCTACCCTCACTTCCCTCACTTCCTACCCTCACTTCCCACACTCACTACCCTCACTCACTACCCTCACTCCCCTCACTCACTACCCTCACTTCCCTCACTCACTACCCTCACTTCACTCACTCCCTACCCTCACTTCCCTCACTCCCTACCCTCACTTCCCTCACTCCCTACCCTCACTTCCCTCACTCCCTACCCTCACTCCCCTCACTCCCTACCCTCACTCCCTGCCCTCACTTCCCTCACTCCCTACCCTCACTTTTCTCACTTCCCTCACTCCCTACCCTCACTTCCCTCACTTCACTCACTCCCCTCACTTCCCTCAGAACGCTTCTCGCTGAAGCGGACGAAGCAAGAAGCTGGCGCCTCAAAAGTGCTTCGTTTATCAGCAAGACGAGCTTCAGGCCTAATTGCTAGGCTAGGCCTAAATAAGGCATGTTTTTTAGGAATAATTGCTAGGGTAGGCCTAAATAAGGCGTTTTTACTATGCCTAACTGCTAGACTAGGCCTAAATAAGGCGTGTTTTTTAGGAATAATTGCTAGACTAGGCCTAAATAAGGCGTGTTTTTTAGGAATAATTGCTAGGCTAGACCTAAATAAGGCGTTTTTACTATGCCTAACTGCTAGACTAGGCCTAAATAAGGCGTGTTTTATAATTGCTAGACTAGGCCTAAATAAGGCGTGTTTTTTAGGAATAATTGCTAGGCTAGACCTAAATAAGGCGTGTTTTTTAGGAATAATTGCTAGGCTAGACCTAAATAAAGCATGTTTTTAGGAATAATTACAGGGCTAGGCCTAAATAAGGCTTGTTTTATGGAATAATTGCAGGGCTAGGCCTAAATAAGGCGTGTTTTTTAGGAATAATTGCTAGGCTAGGCCTAAATAAGGCATGTTTCACTAAGCCTAAATTAACTTGGAGGATGCGTTACTAAGTATGTATTTTGACTAAGGCGCTTCATTATTTAATTTTCTAATGAAGGTAGGAAAAATCTGATTATTTAGCAGCTAATTAATAAAAATGTACGTTGGATTTAATGATAATTGGATTGTTGCAGAGATTTTAGAAGACCATAAAATTACGTCGTAATTGGTGTGAATATTTAAATAAATATTGGTTATTTAGGAAATGAAAAAATTTAATCATTATGACAAAAGTTTTTTCATTGATTAATAACAAAATTTGTTACGGATTATTAAAGTTTCTAGTAAAGTTGTGTTAGACTTCTAGTTTTATTGATTATTCACACATTATTCAGTGTTGAATTTGATTACGTACAATTAGATTATGCATATGCGTCATCTTATTCATCATGCTGTGAAACATTTTATTTATTTTTTAAAGCAATGAAATTTGTGTAATTTCCGAATTACTTGTAAAAGCCGAACTGTAGAAATGCAGGCTTTTGAATATTATATAAATGCGATAAATAATTGTATGATCGTATGAGTAATTTAAAAATATTGAAAATACATAACTTTTTACAATTATTTCTTCTTTTGAATTTTTTTAAATTTGTGAATTGTGATGTCCGAGTTTTAAATATTGAAGCGATTAATTTTGGTATAAAGAAATTGCGCCTAATTACGAAATAAATTATTAAATAATAGAGGTGTATTTCTTAACATGAATTACTCACATCATAAGAAGAAATTTAATTATTTTCAAGAAATTCCAAGGACTCAAGGAATACCACCATTATGGACTACAATATATGGATCGCTTGCTTTGATATA